GGCTGCATAGTATTCCATGCTGTATATATAACACAGTTTCTTTATCTAATCAACCATTAACGGACAACTTAGATTGATACCATGACCTTGCTGTTGTGAACAGTGCTGCAATAAACATACAAATGCAGGTGCCCTTTTGATTAAAAGAAAAGAAAAGAAAAAGTTATTTTCCTTTAGGATTTACCCAGAAGTGGAACTGCTAGGTAGAATGGTAGTTCTATTTTTAGTTCTTTGAGAAGTTGCCATACTGTTTCCCAAAGAGATTGAACTAACTTACATTCCCACCAACAGTGTATAAGCATTCCCTTTTCTCTGCAGCCTCACCACCATCTGTTACTTTTTCTGACCTTTTAGTAATAGCCATTCTGACTGGTGTGAGTTGGTATCTCATTGTGGTTTTGATTTGCATTTCTCTGATGTTTAGTGATATTGAGCATTTGTTCATCTGTTGGTTGACTGCTTATATGTCCTCTTTTGAGAAATGTGTGTTCATGTCCTTTGCCCACTTTTTAATAGGATTGATTTTTTCTTGTTGAATTGTTTGCATTCCTTGTAGAATCTGTTGGATGTATAGTTTGCAAATATTTTCTCCCATCATGTAGGCTGTCTGCTTACTCTGTTGATTGTTTATTTTGCCACGCAGGAGCTCATTAGCTTAATTAGGTCCCATTTGTCTGTTTTTGTTTTTGTTGCATTTGCTTTTGAGGTGTTAGTCATAAACATGTTGCCTAGGCCAATATCCAGAAGAGTTTTTCCTAGGTTTTCTTATTATAGTTTTGGGTACATTTAAGTCTTTAATCCATTGTGCATTCATTTTTGTATATGGTAAGGGATAAAGTTCTAGTTTCATTCTTCTGCATATGGCTAGCCAACTTTCCCAGGGTGTCCTTTCCTCATTGTTTATGTTTGTTGACTTTGTCGAACATCAGTTTGTTGTAGGTATGTGGCTTTATTTCTGGGTTCTCTATTCTGTTCCATTGATCTATATGTCTATTTTTGTATCAGTGCCATGCTTCTTTGGTTATTACAGTCTTACAGTATAGTTTGATGTCAGGTAATGTGATGCCTCCAACTTTGTACTTTTAGCTTAGGATTGCTTTGGCAATTTGGGCTCCTTTTTGGTTCCATATGAATTTTAGAATTGTCTTTTCTAATTCTGTAAAAAATGACATTGGCAATTTGTAGACTGCTTTTGGCAGTATAGTCACTTTAACAGTATTGATTCTTGTTATCCATGAGCATGGGATGTTTTTCCATTCATTTGTGTCATCTATGGTTCCTTCATCAGTGCTTTGTAGTTCTCCTTGTAGGGGTCTTTCACCTCCTTGGTTAAATGTATTATCCTAGGGGTGTGTGTGAGGGGTGTGTGTGTGTGTGTGTGTGTGTGTGTTATTATAAATGGGATTGAACTCTTGATTTGATTCTCGGCTTGAGCATTATTGATGTAACTGATTTTTGTGCATTAATTTTGTATCCTGAAACTTTACTGAACTTATCGGCTCCAGGAGTCTTTTGGAGGAATATTTAGGGTTTTCTAGGCATAAGATCCTGTCATCAGCAGAGATAATTTCACTTCCTCTTTTCCAATTTGGATGCTTTTTGTTTTTCTCTCTTGCCTGACTGTTCTGGCTGGGACTTCCAATACTATAGGAGTGGTAAGAGTGGAAATTCTTGTCTTGTTCCAGTTCTTAGGGGGAATGCTCTTAGCTTTTTCCCATTCAGTATGATGTTGGCTGTGGGTTTGTCATACATAGCTCTTATTATTTTGAAATATGTTCCTTCAATGCCAACTGCTATGGATCTTTTCCTAGGTTTCAGGTGAAGAGATGAGCAAAAATAGTCTAATAAACACTTTATGTCATGAAAAGTTATAAAGCAAATAACTGGAAACTTAATGTCATTTAAGTATATTAAAATTTTTCCTACCTAGTTTCTTTAGGACTCAGAATATTCTGTCTGTTGAGATATTTTACAAAGAAACTGATTGCCATGTGTACCAATTGTGGATTACGAATTCTCTAAGAATTAGAATCCACACTTAAGAGCAAAGATTCAGAAGGGGCTTAAAGGATTGTTCAATCTCTCAAGGTCATCACTGTAAATATTGCTTATTATATCAGAGAGACACACACACACACACACAGGTAAGAGTAATGAAGAGAATGCCAGACAACAGTCCGTTCTTCCATTCATCCATTCAGTAAGCATTTACTGAGTACTACTTTGTGGAGGCAAAAGCATGTGGAGACTCAATCATTGAACTAAGTTTCTGTCCATAGAATTTACAATGCTTAATATTCCATCTTTCTAAAGAGTAAAAGGATTTGTCAGTATTCAGAGCCCTTTAAGTCATTAACAGAACCCAAGGCTCCTAACACCCCCTTTCATTAGAAGCATAAACAAGCAATTATTTCACTTAGTAACTGGAATTCAAATATAAATAATAAGCAAATGGCAGCCTTTATGTCTGCCCATTTTCTGATTTTTCTACCATCTTGCCATATCTGCTGTCAGCTACTTATGTGTGGGTGAATGTAAATGCCAGGCAAGCTACCATGAAGGAAATTATGCATTCTTATTACAATGAATATCAACATCTAGACCTAGTGTTAAAGACAGTCCTAAGCAGTTATATCTCTGGATGATGAAGAGAGTCTTCAATATAAAGCAAAGGCCATAAGTGTTCTGCCAACCAAAGTTCGCTAAGGGAAGCTAAATCAGTATCTATGACAAAAAAATCCCACACCAGGAACATCACCTTCATGAAGCTGACACCCAACATCAATATTTAAATTTGCATATTGTTGCTTATACATTCATTATTAATACAAAGAACTTGAATAACCTGATGTACTTCTTAACTCATAATTTTTCTATTACAGTTAAATATGAAAGGATCAAATTTTTGGTGATTGCCTTAAAGAATGCTGTGGAAATATATGCTTGGGCTCCTAAACCATATCATAAATTCATGGCATTTAAGGTAAGCAGGCATGTGATTATCTAAAAATGTGCTTTTTAAAAATTTTTAGTTTCTACCCATTAATAAAATAGTCCATATAGACCAATACCAATTTTCATATAGATAATAAACCTGTTTAAAAAGTGTAGGTACTCTCGGTTTTATTGTTTCAAAAGTAAAGACTAAGTTAAACTTAGTCTCTAAATCCTCATAAATTTTTCTGGATGAAGTCCCTAAAATGCAGGTGATGCTTATATGTCCCCAGTGCTAACTTACAGAAATGACCTAGTTTCTCTGCATTCTTCTATTTTGATTGTGTTTTCATTTTTTACCTCGTCTAAGTTTGTACCCACCATGGTTGGATTGGTCACTCATGAGATTTGCCAGGAGTGGGATGGGGATATGCTAGTCCTGTTGACCCCAGCTCATGAAGCTGACACCCGAATACCAGGAGGACCAGTACTTACAGGCACCCAGATGTGTTCAGAGCCACATAACCTATCCATAGCCCAAGTAAACTTACCTTCTGCTTTCTCTCACACTCCCTGTCTCTCTCAGCTTATGTCTGTCTACTTCTTTGTGTCTCATTGGCTGTTACTTTTTCTCCCCATCTTTATGACTGTTATCTCCCTTTGGTTCCTTATTCATTCTTTTCTGCCACATTCACCATGGAGGGCAGAACTGCCCTTAGAACACTATGTAGGCCCACTTCAGAGCTGAATCACTTCTACCTTGTTCCCTAGTGCAAATGGCTTATTTGTGATGTGCTCAGGAAAATAGATTCATTAATGGAAATGGGCTCCCCTCCATAACCTCACTTTTATGGGAAAAAAAAAAAATTGGAATGCATTAGGTTACTAATAACAATTAAGGGATAACTCCTAAAAGCCAAAGTGTCCTGTTCTGCCAAAATCTGTCTCCACAAAAGCTTTTCAATCAACATCCCATTCCCATTCTTGCTCTGAAGTTACTGCCATCATTTTATGACCCAGAGCACATGAGGGAGTGCAAAATGTTCTTTCTGACAGACCAGATCCAGCCCAGAAAGAGGGAAAAGCAAAGGCAAAGACTTGAACAGGGAAGAGTGGAACTGGCAAGAGGCAAAGCCTTCCCATAGGACAAGAACAGGAGACTTGAGCTTCCTGTGCTGTCAGAATGGTGTTAGCAAAAGATGAGAAGAGAAGGGTCTGAGAAGTAGCAGTGGCATTATAGCTAAGGCAATCGTAGTTTCACAAATGCTCTCCCAGATCTCAAGGCCCAAAGATAGAGTGTGGTTAAAAAATAGCAAAGGAAAATGGCAGAGGAACACTTGACAGTTAGGTGGGGCTTGGGCTCTGGATTCAAACACAGAGAACTTTCACAAACTTGACAAGACCTCTCTTTTTGCTTTCTAGTTAAATCCAAATAGTCAATGCAAGCCATCAATCTTGTGATGTTCCACTCCCACCTCTTTCTCTACCACCCAAACCCAAGTCTCAGATTCCAACATTAAGAGAAAGTGCCAATCTTATGCCCACTCATTCGCTGAAGAAAAATCCAAACCAGAGCATGCCCATTAACACTGAACAGGCTGAGAAAACAGCCGGCCTTGGCTGTCCCTCCCAGGCTGTCTTTGAAAGGGTAATTGCTATGGATGGGCCTCGTTGCCACATGGGAAAGAGAGGGGCCAGAGAGGTAACTGGGCCTTCTTCCGAGGACAAAGGCCAGAAATAAACAGGAAAAAACAGTAGCACCCAGGCACCAGGTCTTTAATATACATTACCACTATCAAAATTTACACCTGTGCACCAGCTTAAACTTCATTGACCTGGAGGACAAAGGGTAGGGAAAGGGGCAAAAATGGATGCTAGACCCTTCCTCCTAGAGCCAGAATATCAACAGACCTAAAACTGAAAGAGAAATTTTCTAGCTTTTCACTTTAATAAAGTTAGGAGTTAACTTCCTCTAGACAGTGGCTAAAGGAAAAAATTTATTAAGATACCTCTTTGAGTGATGCGGATACTGATGGGGTGATTTTTAAAGTCTTTTGCAGATCTCCAGCACAAGCCTCTGCTAGTTGATCTCACGGTAGAAGAAGGTCAAAGATTAAAGGTTATTTTTGGTTCACACACTGGTTTCCATGTAATTGATGTTGATTCAGGAAACTCTTATGATATCTACATACCATCTCATGTAAGTACCCAGAAGTAGACTTCCAAGGGCTCTGTGTACAACAGCCTGCATGTAGAAAGAGATTTGTTTTGCATAGTTTTAGTAAAAGTCATGCAAACTTTACTAACCAGCAGACGGACTTTCGTTCTTCATTAAGTATACTGCTTTTAATAACTAAAATACATAAATTTAATTTATATGACTTCCTAAAACTGGAGAATACATAATAGAGATCATTTGGCATTTACATGTTGTCTCTTTGGACTTTAGATTAAAATGAATATGATATTTTTCTTTCAAGAGCATGAATTATATTCGGTAGACGAGTTTCCACATTCAGTTTTTGAAGGGAAATTGGTTCATTTTATGTTAGAGAAAGCCAATGGTCAGGTACTAATTTATTGGAGAAAATTCTTTTTTTGCCATCTTTAGTTCCTTACTTCAGCTTGAGGGCAGTGTGGTATAGTGGAGTCAGACACAGTGGCGCTCGTACTCTGGCTCTAACATGTATTAGCTTTGCAATAATGGACACAGTAGGCAGCCTCTCCAATCCTCAGCTTTCGCATCTGTAAAATATGATAAAAAGACTTATTCCATAGGATTATCATTAGTATTAAATGAGGTAATAGATCTAAAGCAGTTGGTACAGGGTCCTGCAAATTATATATCTTACTAGCCCTAAAATATTCATATTACTATCCTGACATATTGCTTGAAACATAACTGTTAAAGGGAAATGCTGCACATGGATTCACTTATTAGGATCAGTGTAGTGTAAATTGTGTGTCCTGTGTGTAATTCCAAGGCTAACATACAGGAGAAACTATCAGGAATGTTTGAAGCTACTGCTGACTGGTATTTTGAGAATTTGAGGACTTTATTCTAATGAAATGCAATAACTAAAAGAAGTTGTTTTAGTATATTACATACACACACATGATTGCCATTCATTGCTGCATTATTACAGCTTTTAACTCATGTGTATGTGGGTGAACGCAAGGATTCACAGCTCACATTCCTGGTGAGGCAGCTAAGGCATAACTATGATCATCTTTAACTCTCTTATTCCAATCCATCAAGCACATGTTGGTCAGCCATGGCATTCGCAACTACGGGGATCACAACATCACATTTCCTTTCCTAGAACAAATTAATATACACTGATTTCAGTAGTGATTTTTTTTTTTTTTTTTGAGACAGAGTCTCGCTCTGTCACCCAGGCTGGAGTGCAGTGGCGTGCCTTGGCTCACTGCAAGCTCTGCCTCCTGGGTTCACACCATTTTCCTGCCTCAGCCTCCCAAGTAGCTGGGACTACAGGCACCTGCCACCACGCCTGGCTTATTTTTTGTATTTTTAGTAGAGATGGGGTTTCACTGTGTTAGCCAGGATGGTCTCGATCTCCTGATGTCGTGATCTGCCCATCTTGGCCTCCCAAAGTGCTGGGATTACAGGCATGAGCCACTGTGCGCAGCAATAGTGATTTTTTTAAATGACTGGTAATTCTAAATATTTTTTCTAACCAAGCCATGAATTATTCTTCCATTTGGACACCCAGATAAACAATCCTATATTTTTTTTCCCAGATTATTTTGATAGGAGTTCATTTGACCCCACTTAAGCCATCTCCATTAGATTCAGCTGGCTTACATTCTCCTCATCTTTTTTTGGAAGTAGTTGTGCTAATAGAAAACACATTAATTTCAACGTCAGCAAGATGTACACAAATCCCAACTCTACTAACAAATACTAGCACAGCTTTGGTCAAGACACAAAGCCCTTCTGAGATGCAGTTTCCTCATCTGTAAAAAAGCTATCTACGTTGGGGAGCTATTCTGGGTGCTAGAAATTATATATGTAAAGGGCCCCATGATTGGCACATAGTAGGTGTGTCATAGATTTACATGCTGTTTTTAGGAACAGATAAATTGAATTTTTAATCTAGTGACTTAAGTTTGATTTGCCAGGGTATTTTACAAGTCAGTGGTTAAATTAAAGCAAATTTCAGTCTTTAGGGTGACAATGAAAATAAACAAAAACCTCTTTTTTGCAGTTCTTAGAGATGAATAGTCAAAGTGTTGTTTTATTTTTTAAAAGAATAATGCTTGGCCTTTCTTTGTCTTCTAGATTCAGGGCAATATCACTCCTCATGCTATTGTCATCTTGCCTAAAACAGATGGAATGGAAATGCTTGTTTGCTATGAGGATGAGGGGGTATATGTAAATACCTATGGCCGGATAACTAAGGATGTGGTGCTCCAATGGGGAGAAATGCCCACGTCTGTGGGTAGGTTAACCATTCCTTATCTCCTTCAGCAGTTACACCCCCCAAATGAAACGAAAATCAAGAAATGTGAAACAACCATTTGATTCCACACCAAAAAAAAAAAAAAAAAAAAAAAGTCTGTGAATAACTCTTGTAAGACTTGCTTTGTCCATTTATCTCAAGTCGTTTGTCATTTTTGTGGTTAAGATGTGAACAGATGCTGTGAGTTATTGCCCATCTAATGTTTTTAATGCAGTTTTGGAAATTCCTTTTGACAGCCTACATTCATTCCAATCAGATAATGGGCTGGGGCGAGAAAGCTATTGAGATCCGGTCAGTGGAAACAGGACATTTGGATGGAGTATTTATGCATAAGCGAGCTCAAAGGTTAAAGTTTCTATGTGAAAGAAATGATAAGGTAAATCCGTTTCAACATTTGCATTAGTGTTTGCATTTTAAGAGACCACCAGGTACCTGTGAAACCTTCATTTTCCTTTATACTGATTTGAATCACATCTGTGTTAAACAATCAATATTATCTTGAAATGGCATTATTTGGTTTGATCCATGTGAACACTCAATATATTATTCACATGTCAAAAACTACATAAAAACATCTAGAAATTTCTTGTAAACCTCTTAGAAATTTTTGTGGCTTGAAGGCCTTATGATGACTCAGCAGACACCACAAATTCTCCTAAGCACCTAGAGCAGTTGGCCCATCATTAATCATCTCACAGTGGGTCAACTGTATACTTCCACTTTTAGACTTTTCACAAAGTCACTTTCAAGACCTAACCAATCACCTTATATTCACCTTTAAATCCAAAACATTTGACATGTAGAAATATAAGCTTTTTAAAAATGTCACCCATTCCTTAAGGAACTCACAATCACAAACTCAACTAGTGCCATGTCTTGTGTCATTCCAGCCATGTTTCTTCTGAAATGTCATAGGTGAACTGTTTTCCAGTGAAATTAGCTGTGTCCGTCTGGCATGATCAGTCACCTCAGAGGAGTATTCTGCAGCAGTACTGCTTCTCCTTTACCCTCCCTATAGAGTAACCCTGAGGTTTTAGTAGCTAAGCCGTATTGCATTTGTGAATTCATCCTTTGTGGCTGTGGCCAACATAGAAATGCTGTCCCCAAAGCCACAGACATAAACACCTATAGAAAAACAGTATGATGGGTTGAATTTTTGTACATCCCTTTGTCCCCCCCCAGTTCCTCAAAGGTCAGGTTGGTCTTAGTTCAACCCTGGTGATGTGGGCCTAAACTATATTCAACCCTGGCCCACTACTCTGACCTAATGTGGTCTGGGTGGACAGTAGCTGCAGGTGGCAAAGATGGTTCCAGCCATTTAGAGTTTCCCAGAAAACAAACCTAACCTAGTAAAACTCTAGCTCCTACCTAGTCTCTAAGAATCAAAAAACTAGGAGTAATCTGGGTATGGATACCCACACTCCAATTGAAAACCCACCCTAGCAGGCCTGTTCCAAGCCATGCCACACCCTTAGGAGTAGGCTGGGACCACACCAGTGTCTGGAACCCAAAGTTTAGAGCCAGGGGCACACAACTTGGAGGGAACAGCAGCCCTTTCTTTTCTTCATTGTGGTTTTCCATGGGCCCTCTCTGTCCTCCGTTTTGATTCATTGACCCTAAGAGTAGCATTACTTTCATAAGTAGCATTAGCTGAATGTCAAGCATTTCCACAGACCTTCCTAAGAAGTTGCTGAGAGACAGCATTCTTCTGAAGAAGCTGTAGAAATGAAGTAGCAGACTTTATACTAGTGACAAAAGCAAATGCCTTAGACCAGAGTTAGGTATTGGCTGACTGAAGGGCTAGGCCACAGCCCAAAATATTACTTTCCTGGGACAGTGGGTCTTTTACATTTAACATTCAGCTCAAGCAAGCAGTAACCCAAATTTTTCTCACGTTTGTCAGTTGTTTGATAAAATGACTTAACAGACTCAGACCTAATGGACTGTGGTTCTACTTGTTAATGCTATGATCTCATTTGCCCTGGGATATGCCACCATCAGCAGAGAAACCAAGCGTTAACTCTTGAAATGCCAAAATGAGTAGGCATTAAATACCTTGCCCTGACCACAGTATTTAATGTTTTTATCTTAAATTTTAAAAATTGAAATCTGAAATTGTGTAACAGTAGGCCTAAAACTCCCCCTTGACTTTGAGAATTTGAAGGAATTCCCTTCCTTCCTGAAGTCTACTTTCTTGTCATTTATGGGTGAGAGAAGGGAAGCTTCTGTGCCTTTCTAGAAATTAACAAAGAACCTGTTGGCTCCTAGGCCAGAAATCCAGCACGTTATCCTAGCATGAAACTCCCTTTTAAAAAGTGAACACCCAAAGAGATGTTACAAATGAAGATACAGCCCCTTCAGCATGTCTGGAGACCAATACCACAATAAGGAGTAACAACAACCATAGGAATAAAGGCAAGAGTTTTTACGTAGGATGCACGATATCCAAAGGGACTTTATAAACACAGGCCATTGAGTCTTAAGACCTGACACATGGCAAGGATAGGACATGTGAGAGAAAAATGGATGGACGGTTGAAGAAAAGAGGGGAAAAGACCATGCAGTTGAACTAACTTCTTTTTAATTTCAAACAGGTATTTTTTGCATCCGTGCGATCTGGAGGAAGTAGCCAAGTGTTTTTCATGACCCTCAACAGAAATTCCATGATGAACTGGTAACAGAAGAGCACTTGGCACTTATCTTCATGGCGTTATTTCTAATTTAAAAGAACATAACTCATGTGGACTTATGCCAGTCTAGAGGCAGAATCAGAAGGCTTGGTTGAACATATCGCTTTCCCCTTTTCCTCTCCCTCCGCCCCTCCCAATACAGTCCATCTTTCAATGTTGCAGCCTCGTTGAGAAGGAGAGAAAAAGGTGGCAGGAATTTCCAGGAGATCCCCAAGAATGCTACCTTGTCTGTGGACAAAGATGGACCATGTGCCCTTCAGAGTTAGGGATAGAAACAAATATTGTGTGCTCTTAATGATTAAGCTGTGTTATGGTGGGTTTTCAGGTTTTTACCTTTTTTCTTTACCCCTTTACTCTGTAAGAATGGGGAAAGAATGCATACTGAGAAAATGAGTCTGTTTTCAATTCTGTCTGCCTACTAGTTTTAAGTATATGGTATGTTGTAAAATTTCCAGTTTCCAGTGATGAGAGACAGCACAATAAATGTACCTTATCTCCTTACGCTGAAGGCCATAACTACATAGTGGGGTAATTTAAGAACTCTCTTGCCTTCACCAACCCAAAAGGTTGCT